ATTTATCGAGCAGGGCCAATTACTTAACCAGCGTGCGACATTTCAGGCTCTGCTAAGACGAGGCCTGCTGACCAAGCAGGTATACAGTCAGTCAATCAGCCAGGCAGTCTGTCTCCATACAGACCCACTGTGCTAAATCTACCTTTCAGAGCTCATCGAGTGGAGTCCATCACAGTTTCAGACACCACGCTGCTCTGTACACCTCTCCCACCTCCTCCTCCAGCTTTCACCTCAATTTCCAGAATCTCCTTCCTTGTTCAAATTTAATATCAGCTTTTTAGTCATTTGTGTAATTTTGCTTTGTAGTAAGGTTTACAGTCTACTTTTATTTCTTGTGACTGGTACATTTTGTAGCACTAATTCAATTCTATATCTCATTTATCATTTTCATATTCTTTCATGCACAGCTCTGCAAGCTTGCCCAGTAAATGGGATCACATTCTGCACGAATGTGAGACAATATACCTGAGATAATCGCTGTTTCTACTGAAATATACATTTAGTAAATCTCTGCACACTCAATATACAATGTTAAATATCATATTGCAATAAGTTTGGTTGTAGGTTGTAATTTGTCCACCTGTTCTCCCATTATAAATATGGTATTAGTTGATATGTTACACTATTTTTTAGATGTACAGTCAGCATCATAAGATGCACGAATTGGGAAATCATACTCAGTAAAAATTATTTAAATGATAAATATTTGTAATACATTTAAATCTCACCGCTTCCAAAACATGCTTAATCTGAGGCTACATTTACATGTCAGTGGGTTTCTGTTCACACTAATGTTGGCAAGTCATTTTATAAAAGTTTGCTGTCCACTTAAACAACAACAAAAATGTAAATATATTCTGCTGGATCTCTATAGACAACGCTCCAGCGGGTTGTGATTCTCAAATGGACCATATTTATCTTACATAGGGTTTTCCAAAAGCTGATGTTTTAAATTTTTGGACACAGCCAGTCTACGTTTACTTCTTTATAATAACTGAGGTAATTTTAACTGACGTTGAAACTTGAACTCAGTATTCTGTACATTAAGGGATTAGTGCTCTACAGTCAGACTAATTCATTAGCTAAACACTAAGGTTTATGCTATGCTAACATAGTGATGTGTGTCTCCCTCTCTATACATATATATATTATGGTGACAATTTATTTGGTTAGTAGCTATCAAATAGCAGCTATTGGGACACCACGTTTATTAATGACATAAAGTATACAACCATTACATCAGTAAAAATTATTTTCTATATTGTTAAGTTTCTGCAGTGGAAAGGACCAATTTCTGAAGATTGATTAGGCGTCAATAGTCCTGGATAATCAGGTTCCTTTCCTTGGACTTGATGTAGTTTTAATGGTGCATTTTCTTTGTATTGTTTGTGTATATGCGTAATTGCATATATATATTTTAAACTGCGTGTGTGGACAAGCAGTATATATAATATGAGGTCACACTATAAATGCTATATGTATGACATGTATACATTACAGTAAACTGGCAATAAATGTCTTCCTGCAGCTTCTAGCAATTAAATAAAAGAGGAGGGAGAACAGATTGGCTAGATGACCCCAGAATAACCTCTGTGCTGCATTATAAATCTTACTGCCAAAATGGGGTCTTAACATACACACAAACATACACAGATACATAAGCACATATAGACAGAAGCTCTGGGGTCTCTGACCTTGGCTTTTGGGTCAGGTAATTAGTGCATATCTTAAACAGGATCTACCTCACATACACACAGTTGCATGAAATGCACATGCAGACCTACACAAGCACAAGTTGCACTGAAATACACACACACACACACACACACACACACACACACACACACACACACACACTACATCACGATGAATTAAATTATATATACACATACAGTTAGAATAGGGTTGTCGTTTGCCTGCAGCACTGATGCTCCTGCTTCAATGCAAATGATGCAATGTATCACATGAGTCCCAGTCATGTGAGCGCTGGGTGATCATGCTATTGTGGAGATTATGTAAATGAGAGTAGGCAACTGTGAGAGATTTCTCAATAAATAAAATATTTGTCATTAAATCATATCAATGCAGAGGAACAGAGAGGCACAGACAGAGAGAGAATTCACGTATAAACATTATTTAAGCATCAGATGCAGGGTGATGGCAGGCTTTCATATTTCTGGGGTTTAATGACTCATTGTCTGTTGGTGGGATTTTTTTGTCATGTAAGCTTCATTTAACACTGAAACAGAGGTGAAGGTGGAGGTGCCGGGCATGGAATAAAGGTCAGAAACCAGATTCAAACCCAGTGACATGGTTTTAATATGGCCAATATGGGCAGCTCTGTTGGCCTTGACTAGTCTCAAAGTCCCAGACTTTGGAGCAGTGATATGATTTGTGAGTGAAAAACTGGTGAGGATTTGTACACGGAACAATGTCACGTGTTGCGTGACGTGCACTTATGTGAATTAATACAAAAATATGCTACATTGTCACCACTTAAAACCTCTCTCTTTCGTTTCAGTAAATTTTTCAAGGACATGATCATTTTTGTGCTAAAATCAAACAGTAACAAACAAGTAACAAACTTCCATTAAATATATTGTAGTCTGTAATTTACCCCCCATTTCCAGATGCAGATGAGGAAACCACATGTCCCTTCCACATCCCCCTTTTCTAATAACTAATAATATTTTGGCTCTGCTCTATTAAAATGTTCCAGTAAGCTGAGTCAGTGTGAAAGCCAGCACACACTACCCTGAAACTGAAGCAGCAAAACTGAATTCAGCCATCAAGGATTACATTATTTACACCTGTTCTGTGTCAACTGTGACGAAATAACATGTCTTGAAATATCTACGTAAAAGGGTCACCTGACCTTCTGCTCAGGTTGAAGTTGGGCGGAGCTATGCTGGAATAACTTGAAGTCACCAAACATCATGAACCAATGATAATTATAATGGTGTAGCCTCTCCGGGGAAATTATTATTCCGAAACCCCAATAGTCTGAAAAATGTCCCATTGGACCAAAAGCCCATTTTCCCTGAAAATATGCACATGGGAGAAGTTTGCCCTCAGGTCAGAAAGCCTTCCAGCAGCAGGCATGTGGTTCAGGTGTAGGCACCAAAACTACTTGGTTAAGTTTAGTAAAAGATCATGGTTTGGGTTAAAATAGGAATTTGACTGTTGGTTTCACACGGCACACTAACATCAGTTTCCTGGGTGAAAGTCCTGTGTCAGCTGGGTTAACCTTAATAGGCTATCTTTCTGCCCTTACACTAAATAACATTTCAATCAATCTTACTTTTTTCAATGTCAGAATAAAATCAATAAAATCATGTGAGTTTTACCTCAGTTGGTGCCCCCTGGCCAAAACCCGTGATGATTCAGCACCATGGACAGGGCCAGCAGTAACTGCACTAACAATTGTAGGGGGAGTGCGCTTTTTCGCCATTTGTTTTTGGGTTAGCGGCCGCCAGACTAATGGGCTTTCAGTTCAATGGGTCATTTATCGGACTACTGGGGTTTTGGAATAATGGTCCATCAGAACAGTAAGTAAGAACACACATGTTTGGGGACCATGTGTGTGATTTATCATATTTACCTTGCCACGAGCTTTCCTCATGTTTCTGTTGTCAGATAATGGAATTTCTCTCGTTCTGTACTTTGCATTGTGATGTGGATTCAAGTTAATTCAGTTCAATTTTATTTACATAGCGTCAATTCATAACAAAAGTTATCTCATTACACTTTTTAGGGCTGACCCCGAATAGTCGAAGATTCGATGGGCGGAGCCTGATTCGACTGTTAATCTCACAGTAAAAGCTTGCAGTGAAATAAGGATCATGCCATTTTGGCGATATGGGGTTGCTCAACTTCTGATTTGACATAGAACTACCAGTTTTCTCCCAAACTCTGCACAAGACTGGTGAATGGGCGAGAGAGACAGAGAAAAGGGTCAACAATAAGCCTCAGTTTAGCTGGAAAGTTACAGTGTAAGTTGAACGAATAGAGAGTTCAGCTCTGCAGCTTCTCAAGATTAAAGCGGAGCCAGCATGTGAACCTTTGAACGTGGCATGGTTGTTGGTGCCAGACCTCTGAATATTGTTGGTGCCAGACCTCTGAATATTGTTGCTGACCATGCCATCCCTTTATAACCACAGTGTACCCATCTTCTGATGGCTTCTTCCAGCAGGATAATGCACCATGTCACAAAGCTGAAATCATCTCAAGCTGGTTTCTTGAAAATGACAATGAGTTCACTGTACCCCAATGGTCTCTACAGTCCAGTTCTGAAGGCAAAAGGGGGACCAATGCAGTACTAGCAAGGTGTATCTAATAAAATGGCCAATGAGTGTATGTTGAAGAAATTCTGTATTTGAAAAAAATTTATATTAGCTTATACACCTGTACAATACAAAACAGTCCAGTATGTTCAGGTGTGCACCACGAACCATTAGCAATACCTTTCAATAGACTCTTTCTCTCTCATAATTTCTTTGTTTTTATTTCAGTCGTCTGAAGCAGCAGCAGGCCTGAGCAGAGAAATGTTCACAGACAAACAAAGTACAAACAGACAGAGAAAACAAAGAAATGTGGAAACCTGTCATATTCAAACCAACGTGGACACAAAGACTCAATCACAAATATAGCAGACTGACTGAAATGTGGACACACACATGCTTAAATATACATGACACACACCCCCACAACTCAGTGCACTGCCACCACACAGCACAAACAGGTGCATACGCACTGACAGTACCGTGACAAGGACACAAAGACAAAGAGACAGAAAACATTTACACACTAACACACACCTACAAAAAAATGAAAAAATAACACACTTCAGCAAACAATGAGAAAACCTGACACACACATGGACTCATAAAGAGACAGGCATGCAGACACATGGTCATTCACCCACACCACACACACACACACACACACACACACACACACACAGTTTGAGGGGAGCAGGTTAGTTCATTGTACCTGAGGTGGAGCGTGGCAGCAAGTCAACATCCTGACTTCAGCATGTTTCTGTTAAACACTGGTGGTCCACTGCCTCCACTCAGCTGGAAACAAAAACAAAAAGAAAAGAACTGAACTGCTCTTTGTGAAGACAGCAAGTGAAAGATTGGACTTCATGTTGTTGTTCCTCACTGCATGAAATCTTTCACTTGCTTACTTCACAATGAGGCTGTCTTCTTTTGTCAGCAGTGAATGTGCCTGGATTTGTTTAGTTGATCAGTTCCAGAGTATGAATGTTGTGCGTCAGTTGTGACACTCTTTATTTATTCTTATTAAAGAGAAACGCAATTTATCTTCTACACTATTTCTTCTTTATATTAATAGTGATAAAGTAAAGAAGGAGACGCAGAAGGAGCAGCAGAGACACAGAAAATTACATTTGTGTCTTGTCATGCCATGAATCAAATTTCAAGTTAAAGGGAAAATGCTTTAACAGAGTAAATAAACATAAAACAGTGCAACCAGAATAAGCTTTAGTGTTATAAATCATGAATTTGTGTTTCATAAAGCATGTAAAATATACTGCCCCTTTCTCTTTGCATGTGGAACATAGACTTGTAAACCACAGACCAGGATTAGGTGCCACACATCTATTTAATGGTCACACCACAGCTCATAACATTTAAAATAATGCCTGGACTGTCTTGGGGTACAAACATTTCCAGCATACTTATAGTGGGCTATACAAATTTATACTAAATTGCTAAATTGCGACAGCTTGTCCTCCTGTCCACCTTCTCATTTCTGTTGAGATACAGAGAAGCATTCATCTTATAAATACCGTTTTTTTTAACATCAATCTAATATGCACTTATATGCATTTTAAACTTTTAAAATTATCTGTGGGGGAAAATAACCCTTGAAATGGCATGATAATTAAGATTGTTAGTGTTTTTAATTTAAGCCTGCATTTACCATAAACCCTGCTTCCTGTTTCAAAGAGGGTGCTGCATTTTGTCTCTCCTTCCTCTGCTGATTTTTTCAGCTTGTTGTCCATTGGGGCAAAATAAAGAATACTAAATCTTAATGCATTTCTTTTCATTTTTCCATGAGGATCATATTGAGTTTTGTTAGATTTTATTTTAAGATAATGTTTTTGTCTTCTCTTTTTCATCAATGTTATACAAAGTGATCATTGCAAAAATGTTGATTGTTGAACTTTTTTCCCAGTTTTTGTCAAAAATGAACATGGTCACGTTCTACTGCTGAGCTCTTTTGCACATCGGACGGCTGGCTGCCTTTTCAGTGTCACAAAGCAATTTGTTCAGTATGTTCAGTGACAGAAACATGTTGAAAAGTTGAACCTATCTCAGGCGACAGATGGTGGTAACTCTCCTACAGCAGCGGGAGTTTCTACCAACAGAGAACTTGTAATATTCTGGCCTTGGTGTAACTACAGGGCTGACCACAAAACAGCTCTGCACGGTGCATAAAATCTAAATTAAATCATCCCTGAGATGCTGTGAGGCCATTTCCCATTCCATCTTTTCTTTGGTTGCCTGACTCTCTTTCTCTGTCATATATACCACTATGGGAAAACAAATTAAAGTCTAATAAGTGGCCTTGCCAGCGAGTGTCTTGTGAGTGGGCGGGTCATGGCCGGCTGGAGATCTAGAGAACAGACAGCTAGGAGAAGGACAGAGAAAGCGTGATACGGAAATAAAGGCAAAGAGAGAACTAAAATGATGTAAAAACCAAAAGAGAAAGAGAGAGTCAGAGAGACAAAAAGAACTACAGAACTACAGCTGAGATATAGATCAAGACACACTGAGATGTCAACAGAAAGAGAGATAGAGCAGAAGCAAAATAGAGAAGTGGATGTACAAATAGAGAGAAATCATTACTAACTCTTTCGGAAATCGTTTGATTGGCCCTCCTGCTGTGGCATGGAGGAGAACTGACAGATAAAGCTTGCTGTGGAGGGTTTGTCCATCACTGCTTGTTCAGCAGGAAATCTGTGTTTTTTTTCCAGTTGAGCCACAGGCATGTTGGCTGACCTCTGAGCGATCTGCACCAAAGGCCTCTAAATTTTATCCGCTTGACTGGAGGCTCACAGCTCAAACGTAAGACACATAAAAGCAAGAAGGCTAGAAAATCTGATTTGTAGACCTTGTGAGTTATAAACATGATGAAGAATAAAGGTGCTGCAGCATTAGTATAATTTCTAAATATTGGCGTGATGACTGTCCACTTGTAAAAGCCTGTACACTGCATTTTCCTTTGTATGCCCCTGGGTTGATTGCTTTATGGCACAAAACAATTCCTCCAGCTTTAGTTTCTGAAAACTGGCAGATGGTGGAACAGGGAAACACTGGTGGTGATTTAAATTTTGAGGAACAGTACCTACAATACTCTTGGCATAAAATGTGCTTCTTTGCTTGTGCTAATTTAATTAAAGTGCCCGTTTAAAGTTGAAATCAGTATGTTTGCATTGCTGCCCTGACAAGAGGAAATGTAAAAGAAACTGCAACAAACAGGGGCAGAGCATCCACTTTTGGGCAGGGTTTAAACTTGTGCACTGATGTGGACACAACTTCTGTTTAGTGAAACAACATTCAGCCTCAACCTTTGGCTTCTCTGCCGCTTCAGATACAGGAGATGCTTCTGTATCTGAAGCATCAGATACAGAAGCATCTTCTTTTTGTGTCTGGTGCACAAGCTGAGTGGAAGCCTAATTTATTTGAGTCATCCATCCACTTTCTCAACTCTTATCTTAAGCCAGGTCAAGGGGGGTGAAGCCTATTCAAGCACACGTGGCTGCATGGACCGGTTAACATTTGCACTCAGATTCACCCCTAATGTACAAGCAATTCAAAGAACAGCATCACTTGTTGCAAAGTAAAACATAGACAGAAAGACGGACCCTGAAGAATCATAGAAAAAAAATTCTACTGCACTTCTAGACTTTTTCCTACTTCGCGCTTCTAAAAACTATTTAAATCAAACAATCTGAGACATCTGGCTGAACTACTCACAATTCAGACATATGCAAAATGTGACAAGGCCAAGGGGTTGTGAGTAGACCTTAATTCAATTTAAACGATCTTAAACCAAAGAGGATTGGAAACCATTGATGTAGATGACATGAAATCACCACTAACTAAAACAACCTACAGATTTCAGCCTTAACTTGACAAATACATTTGTTACCTTTGCATGAAGTCAGGTAGCTTTGCACTGCCGACTTATTTGAATGTATTACAGAGTATATACACACACAGGTGCCAGTTGGGATTGGCTCCATGTACACAGGGTAAGAGGTTGACGATGGATGGATGGATGGATGGACACAGGTTGTCTGCCTTTTTCCTTTTGATATCTGATGGGTTGAAGACACATTTTCATCAAATTGTTCTACTTCAGGTCAGGCATGAGTGTGAAAATGTGTGAAAAATGTTGGTTCTGTTAATTTATCACAGGAAAATGGTTTATTGATTATGAACTTTCATAGTGTCTGGGTTTCCAAAAAGCTGCTATCACTCAGGCTCAGCGCAGTTAAAGTAGAGACAGTGAATGTTCAAGATTTAAACATTTGTTGACTTCCAAAAAGATTTTGATTCCATCTGGCACAAGGGCCTTTTCTATAGGCTACTTGAAAGTGGCATTGGAGGAAAAACATATGATTTGATTAAGAACATGTACACAAAAAGTGAATGTGTCATAAAGATTGGAAACAGACAAACAGCGTTCTTCTCCCAGGGCCGGGGAGTGAGGCAGGGATGCAATCTCAGTCCAGTTCTCTTCAATCTATATATCATTGAATTGGTGAACCAATTAGATTGTTCCATAGCACCTGGCCTCATCCTGAACGACACAGAGATCAGAGCTCTGCTGTATGCAGATGACTTAGTGTTGCTTTCACCCACTAAAGAAGGTTTGCAGCAGCAACTTAATCTCCTGCAGAGATTTTGTCAGACCTGGGCCCTGACAGTAAACACAGCAAAGACTAAGATAATGATCTTTCAGAAACAATACAGAAATCAAGTTTCACACAATTTGTATTTAGACACCACTAAATTACAACCTACAAGAAACTACACTTACCTTGGCCTCTACATTACATACACAGGAAACACAGGCTGTGAAAGACCTGAGGGACAAAGGAAGGAGAGCTTTCTATGCAATAAAAAGAAACATTAAAATCTATATCTGGCTTAAAATTTTCCAATTTGTACTAGAACAAATAATTCTGTATGACAGCGAAATTTGGGGGCCAAAACTAAATAATGAATTTGAGAAATGGGACAAAACAATCCATTTCATGGAAGAGCATCCTGCAGGTGCAGAGAAAAACACCAAATAATCTGTGCAGAGCAGAACTCCGCCAATACCCCCTCTTACTAAAAATACAGAAAAGATCAATTCAATTTTCACAAATCACTTAAAATCAGTTAACCCCCAGACATACTATCACAAAGCCCTAACATACCAGGAGCTGAAATCAGAGAAGAGTCCCCTCAGCCAGCTGGTCCTGAGGCTCTCTGCAGTAACAAGTCACCAACAGCCTCAGGACATTAACGCCAACTCAAGCAGACCAAACCAAATTATCAACAAGCAGAAAGAAAAATTGAATACTGAAACATTGAATACTGGAAAGAAACAACCAAAACACAAAGTAAATTACAATGTTATCCGGCCCTAAGAAGAGAATTCACATGAAATTACCTGAGTACAATAAAATGTCCTAAACTAAGAAAAATGCTGACAACATACAGACTGAGTGAACACAGCCTGGCCATAGAAAAGGGTCGCCACAGACAGAGCTGGCTACCACAAGAGGAGAGACTCTACTCCCAGTGTGACACAGGACAGGTAGAGACAGAGCTGCACTTTCTAACTTCATGCCCTAAATATAAAACACTACTAGCCTATCAACGTTGAGATTGTCCGTACATCACCGACAGCTTCAGAGTGTGTGGAGAGGGCCAGCCAGAGCGTGCAATTGAAAATCTGCAGCCCGGCTGAGAGCTGCTAAACTTTGGCTAGAGGAGCAGGGAGCAGCGCTCCAGCCTCGGACAAATAAACACCCATGGTCGGACTGGAC